TTCCAGATGAGAAATACTGGATCGTGAAACTACTCTATCCTTAGTATTGTGAGTAAAGAGATTGGAAGAAAGAGCTAAATGGGGAAAATAGCTTAAGCTGTGTTTTAATGTGTATGTAGATACAAGTGGTCTTACATTGTATTTATATCTTAAACATTTCTTCTTAATCTCTTCATTTGCAACGATTTTACTTATTTCCCAAATCCTGTCATTCAAAGCACAAGAAGGCATATTTTCTCAAATAATGTTGCCCAGAGGAGCATGTGCCTTGCTGAGGATATTGCTTGTCACTTTCTATTGATATCAGCAACTAGACAAAATATTGGAGGGCTTTGATACTCTGAAGCTGTTCTGGAGACCCTGACGACTTTGTAGAAGAAAGTCAACTCTTGGAAAACAAGAAGTATATTTGGAGTGTAGAGGAGGAAAGTTTAGTTCCTTTCGCTTATTTGCATGTGCGATATTAGACAAGTTTTTTAACCTCAGAGTTTGTTTACAGCCAAGTACAAAACAGCTGCCTCTTTTACCTTTTTTATTGTTGTTCTTGTCTTATGCGAGCTTAGGATACTTTTACTATATTTAGAGCCATAGACAGATAGATGCCATTTGCTGCCATTTTATTTTAACACACTGTTTCTGTAGACACTAGATTTTTGTGTTCAGGGAAAATATGTCTCTACCAGAACCGATTCAGCTAGCTTTGAAATAGAGATGCTAATTAATATCATGAGCACATGAATAGTGATAACTACTAAAACTAAGCATCTGCTCCTGGAGGACTCAATTTATCCAGTAACTCTATCCTTTTTCTCCTTGAAGATCTCAAGGGAGTTGGCATCAGGTTTCTAAGATGCTGAAACTGGCTCCTTAATTATTGATACTCACATGCTCTTCTGCCTAGGGCTTGCTGCTCCTCCCCACCCCACCCAGAATACTCCCAGAAGTGCCACGCTACCAAAGGAAGTTTCAGATGCTCTCACGGGGCCACTATGTCCTGCCAGTTCAGTTTAGAATTCTGGGCGCCGCTCAAACTCTGTGGGCGGCATTTACGCTGGCTTAGCAACTCTAAGGTGCAAAGCCTCCGGAGGCCCCCTGCTCCGGGAGAAAGGACCCCACCTGTTTTCTGTCTTGGTTGTCCTGCTTCATTATTCTCCAGTGCATGGCTCTTCCAGTCCTCTACTGGCCACCCCACCAGGCCTGGAGAGGAGGACCACCTGGCAACAGAGACCACCCCGTGCCGGTGGATTTCTCTGCCCCTCCCCCTTTTGTCCAGCTAAGTCTTTGCAGCGACTGACCCGCAGGCTGCTCTCCGGCTGGCCTTTGGCCCTTTTGCCAGGAGAAGAAAGAAAGGGCACCATTGAGAAGCCGGACCCCCACCGCTCAGTCGCTCAGTCCCCCAAGGAGCTCTCCCACCTCGCCAGTGTATCTTGTGGAAGTTCGAGCTTGGAGAAGGATGAGGACGGGGTGTTTCCAGGTGCTAGGACAGCAAGAGTCACCAGCCTGGGCCATCCCATCCGGAGTGCAGGGGCAATTTCGGGCTCTAAACAGGCTGTGAGTCCACTCCTACCTCCCCCAGGGCCTCCTGAAGGCTTCCTGGTGTGAATCCATTATCTTCACACACATGCGCGTGCACACACGCACACACACGCACACATACACACACACACACACGCACCTGGGAGCAAGTCGGCACCCACTTCCAACCTGATTTAGTCCACGGACCATGGAAATTTCAGGGCAGTCTGACTTTCTAGAAGAAATGAAAAAATATTCCCAAGGGAAAGAGGCAGAAGGGAGGAACACCTGACCGAACGGTGGGGAGACGGAGCCCCCATGGGGAACATTACATCCCAGTGGGCATGTGTCTCACCGATGGTAACCCCGGGCAGTGCGTGCGTGCGTGCGTGTGTGTGTGTGTGTGTGTATGTGTGTTTTTTTGTTTTGTGAAGACAGCCCCCCTCCTTTGAAATGCTAAGATCACCTGGCACCATTCTGTGAGCCATCAGGTAAGACTCGCCCGGTGGATGGGAGTGAGGGCCTCTGCCCCCCACCCCGAAAGTGCTGAGACTCAGGCAGGGGAGCAGCAGGCAGCTCTGCCCTTCTGCGCACCTGGCCTTTCCAGCCCAGCCCGGAGGAGCGCGTGGAGAGGGCTCATCCCTGCTCCCGCAGAAGACCTCAGCGGCGGGGTTAGCGCCCGGTGAGTCCCAGAGCAGCGGTGGATGCCTGGAGTCCGAGGCTGGGGCTGGGGACCCTGGGCTGCGCCTCGGTCCCGTCTCTCAGCTGCACCGCCCTGGGGTCCCCGGGATCCCGAACCCGAGGGTGGGGGCCCCCGCGGGTGTCTCTACTTAGACCGTGGGCGGGACGTTTAAGCACCACTTGCAGATTCACAATTTCCGTCTGGGTGAGACCTAAAGGGACACAACAAATCTCTCTCTCTCCCCTCTCTCCAGAAATAAGGACGGATCAAACCCACCCGCCTTGCCCTGCCACCCTCCAATTTGCGGCGCTGCGTGGCCTTTCTCTTCACACTTCAGACGGGGGCCTGGAGATCGATGCCCAGGGAAGCCGAGGTCCGCTTTAAGCCCCACGGGAGGGGGCCAGGCCAGGCCAAGTGCACTTTGTCCCCCCCACCCCCGGCGTCTCCTTCGTCGCTGCCGCTGCGCACGGAGCTGAGACTGAGACCCGCGGCCGAGGCCGATCCCCGGGCCGCTGTAACCACGCGCCCGGCCCGGACCCGCGAGCTCGCCGGCGTGAGACCCGCAAAACCGCGAGAACCCCCGGGTCCGGGCCGTTCTGAGGGCGGGAACGCCCAGAACAGACAGCGCAGAAGACGCGGGCGGGGGAGATTCGGACAAACAGCGCTGAAGGCGTTGCAGCAGTCCTGGTCTTAGGAAAGCTGAGACTGGGGTGAGACTGAAATTCCAAGAGGAGAAGGAGAATTTTAAGCAACTGTCAAAGCTGGCACTCCCTGGTGATCGGGACGGTGTTGAGAGCATAGGAGCTACTCAAGTTTCCAGAACTAGGGACCGCATCCCAAGTCAGGCCGTGCAGGAGATGCCCTCCCACGACCAGCCATGTGCAGCGAAGCCTCTACTAGCCTTAGCAGTGTTTGGATGTTTGCAGACACCCCTCTCTCGCAGCATGCTGCGACAAGCTTCGCTTTCCCCGTCCCCAGCGGGCTCGGGGACCTCGGCTCACAGCACGGGCTGGGTAGCGGGCGGAGGCTGGGTCGCTGGCTGGCTGCTCACCGGGGTGGAGACTCACTCCCCGCAGCCGCCCCCCACAACGTGTCTTGGCTCAACAGGTATCACCAGAAGACTCGCACTTAACCACGGTCCTCTGCTGGAGGAAGACGCCCCGGCGCCTCCCCGCCGGGCTGCTGCAGCCTGAGGCCCCACGCGGAGCTGTCTGGCCCCCGCCCGGGCCGCCCCTCAAGCGCAACTCCCGGGAGCCGGCGGGAGGCTCCCGCAGGTCGGCCCACTGCCCAAACCCTCGCCAGCAGCCAGAGGTGCAGCCGACGAGGAGCATGTTCGCTCAGAGCTGGACTGAGGTTGCAGGAAACACACACACACACACACGCACACGCACACACACACACGCAATGGAGCTGTAAGGAGCAGGTTGGGAGTACAAGGCAGTAGCTGCCACAGAGATCAGGGGAGACTACCTGGTATTTAGGGCTGGGTATTAAAATTCCAGACATGTCTCCCATCCATCCTTGGTCATTATAGAGGGAGAGGTAACCTCGCCAGTCCCCTCCTCTCCAAACATGGATTATCATTTCCATGGAATGCAAATGCACTGCCTTCGGTGGGGGGACAGCCAGCTGCAAGCTGGACAATGCACTGTTTCATGGGGATGCAGCCGGTTGCGGCTCCGGCTCTGAGAGAGGCGCTCGGGTACAAAGGCAGAAGCGTCGCGTCGGCGTTGACAGCCGCCCTGCACCCCCCACACAGACACCCAGGATTTGAAACCTGCTCCACGCAGAGCTACATCCACGGAGTCTATGAGCTGCCGGGAGAAGCGATTGTTCAGAAAGGATGGCCTGAGTCATAAACACCTCCTGAGTATTCTTTGCAGCGATTAGGGGTCAGCAGGGTGCCGGAGAAGTTGTGGAAGGGGTCGTAGGTCTATTCTTCCCCGGAGGACAGGTCTTCTTCCAGGGATCCTCACTGTCCCTTGCCTTCCTGCTTGGGAATACATTCTACCTCCCAGCCACCCCCTCCCCTTGTCTGTACATGTGACACTCGCTCTACCTGTCTGCGCGCTGAGACTTGCTGGGGATTTTCTTTTTGGTCATCAGCTAATGACTTTCCTCCTACCTTCATTCACCCTCAAAGGTGGATCCCTCTATACTTAGTGGCATCGAAGACCATTTTAAAGCTTCATTTCCTCCAATTTTTTTTCTACCGCCAGACCCGAAGAAGCTCCCCTTTATTGATCATCGCAGGGGAGCCACGGAGAGATGATTCAAATGTTAATGTAGACCTTCATGCTGGCCTGGCAATGCTCAGAGGAGCCCTGTCTCCAAATGCTTTTAAAACCAACACCTTCCTAGCGCATCTGTAACTTTGTTCCCAGGAAGGGTTAACAAGCATTTACAACAGTGTTGCTAATATAAACCAAGCACCAGACCCCACTGATCCGACTAGACATCAAGGCAATCCTCACCACCAAGGGGGAAAAAGTCTTGCAGAGGAATCTGCCTGGGTTTTCACTAGTTAGAGGCTATAGGAATCAACTCACGTATCCGTTGGAGCATACTGCAAGAATATTTATTGAGCACAGGCTCAATCACCGCATTGAACGCCAAATCTGGCAAGCCAAATGCATTTCCTATCCGAGGGGGAGAAAAACGAGCCGTGAATCAACTCCTTCATCAGTATTATCACGATCATTTTATCGGTGCAAATTGCAAAGTAAGCTGGCAGCCTCGCCGGGCGACAAGTCAGCCCACCTCCCTCTAGAGCAGGGGGACCTCCGCACGGAGGAGACCTTACCTTTCACGCACGACACTGTCAGCAAAAAGACCAGGTTCCGAAACGTAAATCCACTTTTAATCCCCATTTTCTTCATCAGGAGGAAGTCGAGGCAGCCACATTTAGCGCATGTTTTCCTGCCAGGCTCGCGGGGCTTGGATTCCTTCGGTCGGCTTTCCCCTCTGCGGATCCCTTGCATATTATTCACCAGCTCCTAATTCGTGCTGCTTGGCCAGCGCAGTGGAGTTGTTGCTGTTGTTGGTGCGCGGTCACAGCTCGGAGTGAATGGTGTTTCTGGGATACCACAGCAACCTTGACGAGGACTCAACCATCTCTCCAACGGGGGCAGAGTCTCCGCTGCTCTGGATTCCTTCTTTTCCTGCGCGGTTTTCCCCTCCACCCAAATCCACCTCGGTCTGCCTCCTTGGAGCAATCACCACAAACCACTAGTGAGCCTCTCAGAGCCCTGATCCGCTCGCCCTTAAACTCCCCACAATATTTGAAATCAAGGAGCTTGGTTTTGTTTTTCCCCCTTCCCCTCCCCGAATAGATCAAATCTGCCTGAGAAAAGCAGTCCAAGAAATATTATGGTAGGGACCTCTCCACTGCAGCCTGCAAACACAGAGGCATATTCAGGGGATATTTTAATCCCAAATCTGCGTTGCTTTTAGGGCAACGGTGATAGAAAAGCCTGAGCCCACCGATGCTCACGACGCGACAATGGGACGCCTGCGACTACAGTAGTAACTGGGTATGGCAGGCAGGCGTCCCCCATTCGTTAGCCCGCGATTTAACTGAAAAAAAGAAAAAAAGAAAAGGAAATCACAGAGAATTTACTTGCACACGTGCGTTTAAATATGCACACGTCTGCGTGTACATCCGTGAGCGGGTTTTTCGGATTCCACCCGGGAAATGGATTTCAGTGCCGTGTCCAGGGCGGGGGTGGTGGGGAGGAAAGCCAGTCATTTCCCCAAATAGTTCCTCCTCTCGCGCCCCCCCAATCCCCTAGCAGCCTGCGCACGGCAGTTCCAATACTTTATCTGTGGTAGTTATCTAGAACACACTCATTTGTCTTAATTCTGAGTCCATCCCAAGAAGGTAAATGGGAGGTTTCTTTCTAAATGTGAAATGTATAGATCTATACCTCTGCGCTCGGCGGCGGCCGCCCCGTGCAGGGTTAAGATTGTGCAAACGAAGAGTTCTTGCGCCATCTACTGGCCGTGCCCGAGCCGCCTGCTTCCCCTGCCCCTCTGTAAGGGACCCTGTTACTCTCTGCCCCGGGTATGGAGGAGCTGCGTCCTGGAGACCAGAGTGTTTGCCGCTGTCCTCATCTTTCCTGGCAAGGTCCTGGTCCAAATCTTTCTACTATCGTGTTCCTCAGACCAGGGGCCGGAGGGAAGACCTGACCCTTCGGGAATCTGGGCTCCTCTCCGGAGTGGGGAGGGCTGAGGGTTGTTCTGGAATAGGCAATTGCTGCTGCCGGTGATCCTATTTGCATGCCAATGGCAGAGCCTACAGGATTTAGCTGAAGGGCTGGCCAGTCTGAGTTTGCAGCTCTCCACTTTGTCCACAAATAAAGGATCTCACCCCACGCACCACACAATCACCCCAGCTTTCGTCCCGGGGTTCGCGTTGGAGCTGCCAGCTCAGCGGACCCGGCGGCTGCAACTGGAGGGACCTCGTTCTCTGGAAAGTGGGCACCTGCGAGCGCCCAGTAGCGTGAGTGGCCAGTGAGTTCAATCTACAGAGGGATTTTGAGCTCTGGGGGTGGGTGCGTGGCATTGTGGGTCTGACAGTGTGGGGCGGGCTCACGCCGTAGTGAGGAGAAAAGGTGCTTGTTTATGGAAGACGAAGGTGTGCTCTCCGCGTTCTGTGTATGTTTCCCCAAGTGTGCGTTGGCAGTACATATCCGTGGGCATGTGTGTGTTAGAGAAGAATTTCTCTTCCGGGCGGAGATAGCAACAGGGAAAGCTGCAAAGGCCCAACTGGCCTCCTTCAACCAAGAGAAGGACATTTAGGAGTGGAGGGCAGACTACTGTCCTTTCCCACCAGCGCTCCCTTTTGTCATCTGCCTATGTAGATTTCAAAAGGGAGTGGGCGACAAGGCTGGAACTAGACCGCGATTGGGAGGATCAACATTGAGAGGCTCAAGGGAGGCTGATCAGCCACTCGGCAGGCAGGGGCTCTGGCACTGATTTCAGTCAAGATGTCAGGATACATTTTGCTGTTGCTCTTGCGGGGATGAAGGAGTTAGATGCAGACAGGTTCTTGGTCTAATGAGGACAGACAACAGGACCCCCCTTAGCAAGTGTGCTGAGGTTATCACCTCAACTCGATTCACCTGAAATAATCTGGAGTTTATGCTATCCACTTGTGTACATGACTAGACAGCCAGGCTGAGGACTTTAAAAGACCTCATTTCTCAAAAGCCAAGGGCATTTTCATGATTAATTATGAGGCACAAAACAAAGTTTGATTATGGTATCAGGAAGACTACTACTAAGATACCAATTCATGATATTTATTTGTAAACACATTGCTAATCCTGTAATCCAATTATTTTTCCCAAATGAATTCTATAATTTTAGTAAGGGGTTGGTAATAAAAGATTTATCTGATAGCTTATAATACACTGGACAATCTTATAGTTTCTACTTTGTACAGCTCCCAATAAATCACAAAACAGTTTTCACTTGCACCTCCCAGCGTCTGAGACAGGATTGAAAATTATATTTTACAGTCTGAAAAAGTTAAAACATGAGGAAATGAAGTGGTTTATCCAAGATCACCATCAGGAGCAGAAGCATTTAGTCCAATGCATTTTGTGATGAAACACAGCTGCCTTTCATGTTCGGTGGCTTTGTCTTCCGGGAAGCATTTCCAAAGGTATTCCAGAAACACAAAATTGTCAGCCGAAATTCTGGATGAAATTATGGAGAAGTCCCTCAGTTTCTCCAACTACATTTGGGAGGAAGATATCATCTATTATAGCTGATCTGTAGGAAAGCCACACATTGGAAATTAGATTTGTATGACCACTGAAAGAGAAAATAGAAAAAACAAAAGCTAACATAATAGTGAACAGTAAGTGCTTACTATATAGCACTGTGCTATATTTACATGGTGTATCCCACTCAATTCTCATTACAATATGTTGAGACAAAGACATCAATTATGTTCACTTTATAAATGACAAAATTGATACATGACAACATTAACTATCTTGCCTTGCCTAACATAATATTATATATGGGAAAATATAACCCCATCTTGTCTGATTTCTAAGCCAATATCCTTCCTACTCTACCACATTCTTTGTGATCTCTCCAAGATTCTTGTGTTCAATGTCTAGTAACAACAACACCAAAAATGATTTCCATAGTAAGTTTCCCACAGGCTCATAGAACAGCAAGGATTCATAGGATAATTTGTAAATGACCAATTTAAAAAAATACATACATATAAAGAGCATCTATAATTTTATCATTTTTAATCACTAAAATTCTTTCTCTTTCTTTGTTTTCTTATGTTTCTCCTTCCCATTGATCTTTTCACATATGGGTCATGGAAAAAGTTATTTGGTAGAGTTCACTGAGATGATCAGTGATGAAGAGACTTGAAAATGTTGAGAAGCAGATTCTATAACTGGAAGTGCCAATTTTGATTCCTTGTCACTTCTTCCCCCAAATACTACAGAATGAAACTAACATTGACTTTAAGATAGAACATGAATTGCCACTAGAAGGGAGAAAAGAAGTCCCTGTTCAAAAATTGCCCTCTATTAATATTACCTCTCAAAATTTTTATGCTCTTAGTACCACAGAGGCAATATTACATGCAAATGGATAAACTGACCAAAACAGAATGAGTATGTTGAATAAAAGTAACATAAAAACTTGGCAATGGAAAGATATTTTTCCATTCTTGTCAAAGATATCCAGGTTTTTAGGAGATTAATAGGCCATGTACAGTCTTTTTTTGTTATATAAATATCCCTGTCTATTAAAGCTGAGTGTCCAGCAAATATATATATTCATTTTTTAATTAAAAGCCTCAAATTCAAGCCTATGGTTATGAGGAGAAATATTTTTAAAAAATAGTTAAACTAAAATAAGAATTCTCATAATGTACAAATAATCAAGTGGAAGTTTTTATTCCTTTGCAGTTTTTAAATTGTTTTTATTTTTATTTATATTTTATTGAATTCACTTTCGGGAAAGAAAGACAAAGAAGCACTGATTTTTTACATTTTCTTTACATGCTCATTCTTAGATCAGTCATGTTTGACTTCCAGCTCCTGGGAAATAGAATGCTTGAATTTAAATATTGACTCTAGAATGAGGGAATTCAAATTCAAGTTTATGTATTTTCTCCATTAGCAGTAGTCCTTATTTTTTTGAGAAGAAAGATAAAGAGACTTAATAATCATGATGAAGTCAATATTTAGAGGAGAATAATTACATGTAAGAAGATACATTATCAGGCATGGCTAAAACTATCTGTTCTTCTTGCTGCTGATTGGGAAACATTGTTGCGAGGTGGACAGAAGCTTCTTGAAGTGCTACAGATGTGCTTTCTTGGGCAATCATTCCTCTTATCTTTTCACTCTTCTAAACAACTTCGTTAATATTGAGGCTTAACAGGCATTTCAGTCTTTTTAAGCTTTTTTGTACATTAAGGAAGTCAGAGAGTGAAGTTTTTATGTCATGTAAGTGTAATAATACTGTATTTAAGACAGCAAGATGGCAAAAAGATATTAAAACTGAAGGCAGTAGCTAAGGCTCCATCCATGCAAAATAAACATACTTATGCTGACACCAAAACAATGAACCATAATCTAATAATTTAGTACTTTTCCCTTCAAATTTTCTCAACTGCTGTCTTCCTTAAAATACACAATCTGATGTATGATATATTAATAGTTTAATAAAATACTATATGTTACCCTATTTCCTGAAATAAGACTGGTAAATTGTTGGGAAGATGTGGGTAATCATTGTGGAAGAGAAGAAATAATAATTTTGCAGAACTTTCTGTTTGCCTTGAGTGTGTTTCATTTTCTTGATCAGCTGAGGCTGATATCCCTCACCTTGTCTCTACAGAGAGAAATACGAATAAGATAACTACGCTTAATGTAGTTTTGCCAGATAATCGAGATGATCTAGGCTCTATGTTTCATTAGTAACAACGTTGTCTTGCTGACATTATATGAATACACCTTAATTCCCAAGCCAGCAGGTCTTTTGATCAACGTTTCTTTAACTCTACTACACATGTGGAGTATCAGTTTAAAATGCACCTGAGAATGCACAAATATTTAGAGAGCATAAATCAAATGTGTGCATTTCACAAAATACCAAATTTTCAAAATTACTCTCAAAATGCAATGTATATCTGATTTTATATCCAGAAATTATCTGCCCACTAATTCATTATTGTCTTCTAAATTTTAATACTCTATCATCTACATATGCTCTAAATTTTAAAATTGGTAATGTCTTGAGATAATTGCATATTTTCAGATATTCACAGCACAGCAAAACCATTACTGTATTTTGTTTTATAAATGTTTAATCTAGCATAAATTAGACAGTATCTGTATATTTTATTTCAGTCTACTACCAAAGGATAAGGTTTCTTTGAAATTTTGCTAAAAAAATATAAGAATCTGCAACAAACAACTTTACAAATGAAAGTCAGTTATGGAAAAGTCTTTTAAAATTATATTGATTATAGTACCAGAAGCCTCAACTAAGCAAAACACAGTCCATACATAGAAGGCGAGTACATTTCACCTGTGCTTGGAATTTCCTCTCTCAGCATAGTAAATTGTTCTACTTGTGATACCAATGAATTCCTCTCCTCTTTTTTTTTTGAATTCTTTACCTTTTTGTAACTTTTAATTTTGAGGCTGGTTTCCCTAAATATTTATGAATTATTAAGTGGAAGGAAGCATTCAAAATGGTATTGGTAGATGTTTCATAAATTTGAAGTCCATGGTGCATA